ACAACAAACATTAGTAAAACTAACAAAGACAATAACAACAACATAAATATATAATATAAATAACAATAAATAGCTTTAACAATAACTTTAACAGCTCATCATTCACAATACAAAGCCAAATCTTCAAATCGGGTTTGTGTGTCCAGGCAAAATAATATATTTACTCATAGAATAAATCAATCAATCTTTAATTACAGAAAATGGAGAAGTGCTGGCTTTGCCCAAAAACCTTTACAAGTAAATCTGATTTGAACGCACATCTTGTATCAAGAGATCATAGACGGCAAAGTGTTATTTGTCCATGGTGTGGTGATGGGAAGACTTTCACAAGAGTGTCTGATCTTTCAGTGCATTGTTCCAACAGGCATTTTGTTGAATGTAATTCTCTGCCGAAGTCATTTCTAACAGCAAGAACTTGCTTTTATTTCGCAATACATCCGCAGGATTATGCCAAGATACATCAGCCCGAAAAATGGAATTCCTCAAATGCCTATGAGGCAAGACGATTAATTTTAAGAATGTTGGAGAGTCAGTCAGATAGTCAGGTAAAAAGAGACAATTGGAGAAGAGGCTGGAGAGTAGCTTTAAAGCAAGATACTGAAGATAAAGAAAACCGAAGTCCAAAGAAAAATGTGCAATCAGTGTATAAAGAAACTGACAAATGTAATAAAGGAAAGAAAGAAACAAAAGAACAAAAATCAAATCAAGAAAAATTGAAAGAAACAAATGTTGAACAAGAACAAAATGTTCCACTTGATCTGTCGAATAAATCAGAATTGAATCAAAAGAATAAAGAGAAAAGAAAAGCTGAAGCGCTATGTGAGAAAGAGGTGGTAAAAGTTAGAAAGGTTTCGCACGAAAGTAGTGATGAGAAGAAAAAGTGTTCGAAAAATAGTGATAAGGGGAAAGATGGCCATGTTTGTTTAAATGATGTTAAATGTAATAAAGAAAAGAAGTGTTTAAATGTCAATGAGAAGAAGAAATGTGATGATAAAAGTGTAAACGAAAGTAATGCAGAAAAGAAGTGTTTAAGTGTCAATGAGAAGAAGAAATGTGATGATAATAGTGTAAATGAAAGTGATAAAGAAAAGAAGTGTTTAAGTGTCAATGAGAAGAAGAAATGTGATGATAATAGTGTAAAAGAAAGTGATAAAGAAAAGAAGTGTTTAAAAGAAAGTGATGAGAAGAAATATGATGATGATGATTTTAAAGTTGAAGATGATGTTAATAGTGTCAGTGATATGAGTAATGAAGGTGAAGATAATGAAAATAAGAGGTGTTCAAGTGTTAGTGGAGAAGGAAAATGTGACAATGGTATATTGAATGAAGTAATGGGTAATAGAATGAAAGTGTGTAAAATAAGAGATGAAAATGATGATGGAAATGAGATAAATGAAGAGAAGATAGAAGAAAAAGTTGAGATGAATAATGAAGTTAAAAAGGATGTTAAGATGAATGAAGTTGAAAAAGAAATTGATGACAAAATAAAGATGTTAGGTGAAGAAAAGGAAAAAGATGAAGAAATATATCGCGCTACGAAATTAATTCTAGATGAAATGAGTAGAGAAGATCAGAAGTTGACAGAGTTAGATGAAATAGTAAGAAAGCCAAAGAGAGAGATGGTATGGAAAAGGTCAAAAGATGGAGTGTTGCGAAGGGTGTTTAAAAAGGAAATAGGTAGAACTGAATCTAATTTTGAAGAAAATAATACGGAGGTAGATCTAGAAAGTAAAGAGAATGACAGTGAATCAGATGGAAATGACTTTTGTAAGAAAGCATCAGAGTTGTTGAAAGTAGGAGTGATGCCACTGGTGCCACCGGGCAGAAGAGATTGGAAAGGGGATAATGAATTTCATATACATCTAAATGGCTGCGATTTTACTTGGCCTCCACAACAATGGCAACAAATGACCCCTGACCGTCGACTTATGGCCTGGGAACACACCGCTTTCCAACTCGAATATTTGCAGAATGGAGTCCTTAGTCCAACAATGTCTAGAAGCTTTCTGTTAGACAAATATAACTTTCTTGCGCTGCCTGGATCCGGTAAAGTTAAACGTGAAGAAAATGAAAAAGGGGCTGCCAGGGCGAGATTTTATTTGTATCAAATGCTGAGCGAAATAGCAAACGGCAAGAATCCCTCTGAAGCAGAGAAATCACAAATCATTACTTTAGAGGTAGTAAAAAATACAGGAGAGCTGCAGAGGCAATTAGCTTTACTGGAAATTCCACTAAGACTTGTAGTTTAATTAATAAAATATATGTGTTATTGTGACAAGTATTAAGTGAAAATGACAGGTGTAAATACGTTTGTTTTTAAGTTATGATTTGACTGTTTTGAACTTAGTGAATTTAGCTTGAGAAAATTTATTCAGTTTGAAGTTTATTATATTTAAAAAATAACTGAATAATGTTGATATTTTAAATGGATTGTCGTCAGAGCTATTAATATGAGTAAATAAGTCGAGGCGCTTTTAGAGTTCATTGTGAAAATTGAACATTATTTAATAATATTGAAGAAATAGACTTCATTTAGTTGACTATTGTAGACTGTTCCTGTTTAAAGTGTTTCTGTTGAATTTGTGAAATATTTATCATATTGACTTATAATTACTTTGAAAAGTGACCTTGACCTACTGGTGATGAGGAAAGATGTATAAATTAAACACTTTATTTAAAGTTAAAAGATTATATAGTTTATTATATAAAGAGTTCTATGTTTACCACATGTTGTGATAATTGTTGTTATTTAATTCTAGTTAATTGGAACAAATGTTTCTTTATATTGTTTAAGGATTTTTCAAAGAAAATGCTTCTCTTATAAAATTCTAAATTAATTAAATCATTAACTGAACATTATCCAGGAGGATAAGTTGATACAAAGGTGGGGGAAGTGTTATATATCATATATCAAGTCGTCCACTTATATGAAACTGAAGTGTTTGAACAATTATCACCGTTAAATCATCAAATATGAATAAGATTGTACTATAAAATCAAAAATAACTCTAACAATTTCGTCTTACCCAAACTATTGATTCGCGGAAACTAGTGACAATAATTACGTTGACGGCAATATCTGAATCCAGCTAGAAGTACGAGCTGGTTTAACTCATTCAAGTTATACTGTCGAAGAAGTTATACGTTATTTATAACCTCTAAACAACAGTTTCTCACACATAATTGGAATTCCTTGACGAAACATGTTTTGTTTACTTTTATGAAGAAGTCTCCAGCGGAAATGAGTTCCGTTCAAAAACCAAACGATAAATTATAAACGGAAAGTTTTTAACTACAGAAAAGTACCAATAAACAACATTTATCTGCTGTATTTATAACAATGTCCCTTATATTTCTATTCATTGTGAAACTTTTGTAAACTCTAAACAACGGATTACAGCGGATCTATTTTATTTAAGCGGCGTACACAGACAGTGAGTTATTTGGAGACTGAATACTTGTGATTGGCTAGCGGAATCCGCTATGCGTTTTCATTGGTCGACGCCTTATTCAAATGTTTTGGACTGGTACTTTTTACCCGCTGTTATCAAGGCGCCAAAGTATATAAATACAGGCGCGAACATTCAATGTCAGCTTCCCAACCGCTGAGCGGAAAACCTTTCGTTATGTTGTAAACAAGTAGAATCCGCTGAAATAATTATATTGCTTTGGTAAAACATTATATTGAGTTATATTCCGCTGATGAAATGAATCTTTGATTGTTACAAATATAAATCCGCTGATATTTTATTACTTTGTAATTCCGCTGGAGCGAATTCCGTTGAACTTGAATTCCGTTGAACTTAAATCCGCTGAAATGAATTGAGTTGTACCGTTGAACTGAAATGAACTGAGTTTTACAGATTCTTGGACACACAAAACCCACCTTGTATCATATACAGATAAAGTCTTACGAACATACATTAACGATTAATTGAAGCATATACATAAAGTTTGTTCCATCGCATTTAATTATATTTGTTTATCAAAAACAAACACCAGTTTAAGTTTAAAACCATGTTCTTCCGTACATATCTTATTCCGTCTATATATCGTATACTAAAGTTTAGCGATTTCCTGCTTCTTGACCCGGCCCTTTCCTGACAATATGGATGGTCTACGTCTGGCTCATTAAAACTGATTTTGACTGAATATAGTGTTGTTTCATTGTGTCTTACAGCATAAAATACCTAAACGTTACAGCTTATGACAATTTCTGTACTGTAAGTCCCATCTGTTGTTTTCTTTCTTGTTTCAAAGTGTTAAGTACGTCGAACTAAGAGGAGCAAAGTATACTTAATTTTGTTATACAATACATATAAATTAAAACGCACATGTCCTGCCATTATCACCCGTGCACATTTAATTTTAGCTGTATCTGTAAAAGCTGTCGTAATGATAAGAAATATATACACCGTACCAAAGATTCGAACACATTGCTTGTGGTCTGCAGACATGACACTGGCAGGCAGGTTTTTACTGCAATGTGTAAGGAATGGTTTTATTTCGTTTGCTTGAACTCTTCGCTGTTTGGTAACTAGCCTTGCTAATGAAGATTTTCATCTAAATTTAATGGATGTGATTAGTTCTGACCAGAAGCCATGCGATAAAAACATACCATTTACAATATACGAGGGTATTACTTTTTTACAGCAAATGTACTTAAATCTTATTAATATATCCTAGATATTTGCCACCTTTACTGCAAAATGGAAAGGATAATTTTCAAAATGTATTCAGTTGAATATTTGTCCGTTTCTAGATATCTTGATATTCAGCCGTGAATGCGCGATTACAAATAGTACTTTATCTTGCTTTCTTATGCTTTCTTATTCCATATGCGTTAAGCAACAGGGGGCATAAATATACATACAGATGTGTTTATTTAAGATAAGTATCAACATAGACGCATAACTTTGTTTTTGCACTGATTCTTTCTAAATTCATTAGTGAAATTATGACTTTATCATCCAAAGAACATATTAACTGTAGCTTTCAAAGAACATATTGACTGTAGCTTTCAAAGATGGCTGTAGCTTTCCAAGAATATAATGACTGTAGCTTTCAAAGAACACAATGTCTGTAGCTTTCAAAGAACATAATGTCTGTAGCTTTCAAAGAACACAATGACTGTGGCTTTCAAAGAACATAATGACTGTAGCTTTCAAAGAACATATTGACTGTAGCTTTCAAAGAACATAATGACTGTAGCTTTCAAAGAACATAATGACTGTAGCTTTCAAAGAACATAATGCCTCTTCTCGCAAGTGTAAGGAAATAATTAACAAAGAAATGTCATAAACTGATGTAACTGACTTTTTAAAGCTTGACCCTGTGGATGAACATCAGACACATTATGGGCAACACTTATTTCCCATATGTTCAGGAAAGTTACTTTATCCAGAATGTCAGTAAATTCCTCAGTTAGAATCTTCTTATAAACAAGTGAAATGTATGGATCAAACCATTTTGAATCTGAAATACATGGAGATGGACCCTTGAAAAATACTTTAGCTTCCGGTTTTGAATTGAAAAGGCGTTTTAACGAGGCAACTAAATATTTTAGACGTTCCCGGTAATTTTCGGCGGGATATGAACTAAAATGTGTGTGGTAGTTTAACAGCACAACTAAAGAAATACCTGGTATATTACTATAAGTTACTGAGTCAAGTATTTGCGGAAAAGATTGAATATTATTTATAGGTATTTCACCACCTCCAAAAATCACAGGCATAGCTTGTTTTCTGTAAATAAGTGTTATTCCGTGGTTTGTAAACGTGTTGCGACCATGGTACGATTTAAAGTTAGGTCCAAAAGTTAATGCTATCTTGAGTGTCTCATTTAATCCTAATATGTCCTTGATAAAGAAGTTCATGTACTGCCTTACTGTTGAATCTCCAAGAAAAATCAACGTTCTGTTTCGAAGGCATGTTCTGTAGTTTTCAATAGTGTGTGTGAAATTGGTTTTGCAGTTCGTCGGAATCCAATGGCTTTTCAAAAATAATCCAATCGGAGATTTCTCTGTCCAAGACTCTAATGGCGTTCTTTCATTACAAGTTACAGATGAGTTGGTATTCGACTTAAACGTTACGTCTACTGACATTGGTATCCTGAATATACCGTGTCCCGGAGATCGGATTTTATCTTTAACACTACGAGCATGGCTTTTAAATGAACCAAGTGAGAATGATTGAAGGTCTTTACACTGGAATTGGCCTCCAACAGGCAGTCCACAGTACCATGACATCCCTCCGTTCAAAGTCGTAAAATTACACACCCGAGAGCTTCCATATATGAAGCTGTTAGTATTACACGGCGCCAAAACTTTCGAATTGTTATACGAATAAATGGCCCTCAATCCATAGGGTTGTCTGAGAGTAAAAACAATGTCACCGTACTTATTTAGAGCTTTATAGCGAAGACACGTATTCTCGGCTGCTGATACTAGCCTCAGATGAATATTTGTTCTTCCTGTCCAGAAAACTCGAATAAAACCCGTGTATGAACCGTTCCGATGATCGATAACATTTCCCAGAACCATACCGTCACCATACATCTCTCTTGCCCGCACAAAAATAATATCTCCACCATTTAATTTCGGGATGTTTCTTTCATTGTATGTTCTAATACGAACGATAATAACTCTGTCTTTTGGTGAAAATAATGACCTTGCCCTTGTAAACTTTGTGCTCGTCATACTATGTTTGTTAGCTGGTACGACGCCATTACAAAAGTCTGGGAGATTGACGACTGGAGGGAGAGCATTATTTATTACAAAATCGGTATATCTACTTTCTTTTTCTGTCATGTTATTCATGATATATGTAAAAATAAAGCCCGCATTCAGGACTAATACAAGTCTTAGAGTTGCCTTTTTACTCCGCACAGGTTTGAGTAAATTAGTTCTTGCAGATGATACCTGAAGTTTCGAAATTCCCATTGTACACCGATCAATAATGTTTCAGCAATCTGTAATGAAAATAATAATAATTCATTGTAACGCCGAAATCCCATCGACAGCAATGGCGGGACATTTACTATAGGGATTTGAAATTCCCGGTAAAAGCGTCGACTTGAGGGTAATTCAGATCGTTTAGAAACACCCTATACTTTTGGGTGCATGCCAATACAAAATACACATTGACCTGGCAATGCAGAGAACTTTTTTGCCCACTTGTCCTTGTTCTGTCCAGTGGATAGGCTAGGGTTGACTTCACAGAGACTGCGTGAGAAAAGATATGAAACACAAGCTCACTTCATTTAAAATCTGCTGAAATATCGATAGGGATATATAAATACATACAATTTTTATTAAACAAATGTATTTGAATATAAAATTGTTTTATCACTACATCTCCGTTTTGGTTTTATGGCTTTTGACAGTACCCTCATAATTATGTTATTTGCCCTTCTTAGATAATCCTCAAAACATTTTTTTTAACAAATATTTTTTTTAAAACAAAACAGTTGATATTATATTTGCTTTCTTGCCTAAATACAAATGTTCCTCGTATACTTTTACGCACTTAAAGCACTTTGACGCAGAATGATAATCTAAATAAACTGATATATTAAAAAAACACAAAAAAAAACAAAAAACAAACAAACAAAAAAAAAAAAAAAAAACCACCAGCGGTGAAAATGATTTTACAATGCAGCCATATCTGTCTTTTTCTGTTTGTTGGATAAAATCACTATTTTGGTCTAATCTAGGAGAGCTGTGTACTAACAATACATTATTCTAAATGCAAAGAAAGAAAAATTTACCTCACATATTTAATATTTTTTATACAAAAGAATGTCAAAACAGTTACGGTAGCTTAATTTAAACGTTTTTATTTTTGCGAAAGAAGTTCATGCACTTTCGTGTCCAACCTCCTCTAGTGTCAAATGCGAAATTATTATCGTGACCCCAGTAAGCCTTGAATTCACGACCCCTAAATTAAGAGATAGAACCGTCACATCTCCCGTTAACAACAGTCACATGATCTTTCCCCTTAGTGATTTAGTCAATGATATTTTCTGGACAATAAGCTAAGGATAAATCATAGTTTTATAAAGATGGCCCTTGATCTCTCACTTGACCCATCGAACTCATCCGAGAAATTACCTAGTCAAGCATCCTTACCAAGTTTCATTACAGTTGAGTGACCACACAAGTGTTAACAAAGTTTTTTCCATATTTTAGAAGTGTGACCTAGTTTTTGACCCAAGGTGACCCATATTCGAATTTGGCCTAGAAATGATCAAAACAAAATTTCAGATACCAATTTCCATGATATTTGGATCAAAACAGTAGCCACTATAGTGTTAACAAGATTTTTCTATTTATAGCTCTTGTGACCTAGTTTTTCATCCGAGATGGCCCATGTTCGAACTCATCCGAGTATTTCCTAGACAAGCATCATGATCAAACCTTATGACAAAAAATGTGACCACAAGAGTGTTTCTATATTATACGGTGTTACCTATTTTTGACCACAGGTGACCAAAATTCTAACTTTACATAGAAATCATCAAAGCAAAAATTTCAGACCAATTTCCAGGATATTTGGATCAAAACAGTAGCTACTAGAGTGTTAACAAGATTTTTCTATCTTCAAACTAATCCGAGCAATTACCTAGACAAGCGTCCTGACCAAATTTGATGATGACTGAGTCAAAAATGTGACCACTATAGTGTTAACGAACAATTGTGGATGGGCGACAGACGACGGACATTCAACGATCTTAAAAGCTCACCTTGAGCAAGGTAGAAAAAGGCAACAGAGATACTCCAAAAGTAGACTTTACTGGTCGACGAACTTTGAAAGTGCCTTCTGTATTGGGTTGTATAATTTTTTCAGTATAAAAATCATTTTTTTAAAACAAAAACTATGCAAATCGGGGTTTTTATATATTTCCTGCAGACACTTTGTCCAAATGGCACGTGGGTTTTCCATATTTTGTTGTTGAGTGAACATATGAATAATATCTATATATTTTTCATCTTTCTTACTTACATGTTGTGTACGGTGGCACAGTGGTAATATGCTCAACTATTTAAAAAAAAAAATCCACTGCTCTTTTACCTCCTTAAAAGTCAGTTTAAAATCAGTTTAAGATTGTTGGCAGTCCTTCAAAACGGAGAACGGGATGGCCAACCAAACATTTTTGAGTAAGTGCTAGAGCAACATTGCCGACCAAACACGTCTGTGTCCGTCCATTAGGATCAAAAAGGAAAAGTGTTTTTTACTACGATCACTCCGTCGCTACGATCATTCCGTAACTACGATCACTCCGAATTGTCGCTAGCGATGGTACGACAAAGCGCCAAAGGGCGCGTTGTCGGATTTTCGTTTTGTCATCCTGTCGCTAACGATGCACGACAAACGGTGCGTTGTCGTGCTGAGTGTTGTCGCGATGTCACATTGACACTTTTGTCAAATCGAAGAATTGGCTTTTTGTATATATATATATATATATATATATATATATATATATATATATATATATATATATATATATATATATAAGCCAAGCGACAGCACTTGTCGTCTTATCGTCACTAGCGATGCACGCCAAAACGGCGCGTTTTCGTGTGCGGTGCTTTGTTCTGTTGTCGCCCTGTCGCTTGGATTATAAGCAATCCTCCCATTTGAGCCGAGTGAAAATTTGACATTGTGACAACATGCCGCACGACAAAGCGCCGTTTGGCGTTCTTTGTTAGCGACAGGCTGAAATGACGAAAGTAGTACAACGCGCCGTTTAGCGCTTAGTCGTGCTGTCGCTAGCGACAACACAACGCACAAAAGCGTTCCAAATCACCCACTATATAAAGAGTAAACTTCCTCAATAATATATTAGTGGTAAACACTAGATTATATCATTGAACGTCCAGAAAGTATTTCTTAATTAGTGATACCCCAAAATATAGGTATGAAATTTAACATAGAAAATACCTTTTTTTACAGTTTGTCTTATCCGAGCACTATATTTTATTTGTAGATATTAAATCCGCAATAAAAATTTCCAGCTGTTTAATGTTAAATTATCACCAGTCAGTCAACAACCAGGCTTGTGATTTTTTTTTACTAATATCGACTATTGTACCAACTGTCACCATAACGCAGATGGTGAAGATGTTATGCAGCTTTAACAGTAAGAATAACTCACGGTGGCCTATGGGAAATTAACATTACAAAAAAGTGAGGGGTAATAAAAAGTTATAGTTACCAGGTCTGCATAGTATTTACAGACACGGGTGGCGATATGAAGACCGATTGTGTAGCGATCGAGGTTTTTAAAAGGCCTACCTGGTCTGTTAAAACTATGCTGACATATTCCGAGTGCGGTAACTATCTTACCTTCATACCCTTTTGTTTTTCGATCCAAACATCAGTTTATATTTCATTATTTATTAATATCACTTAAACGAAACATCGAATTGAATATGACTGTAAATTTGAAAGTTACCTCGACATTATACAGGAAGCAAAATTCAGAATATCTTTAACTAAATTCCGTACATATTCATTCATATGATTTGGCAATAGAACGCGAGCGCTACATAAATATTCCTGGGACGGAATTGTTATTCTAATATGATCGAAAATGAATATTGTTGTTTACTTATATGTCCAAAATGTAGACTTTTTAAAACATTATTATTATACCTGGCCTAACTTACAAAAATTCAGAAACTTGTTAAATGGAAACTAACCAGAAAACTGTTCAGAATCTATGTAAAATTATGTATCATATGCTAATCTACCTAGAAACTAACAAACATTCTTCAATGTTTAAACTCTTCAGAAAACCTTTGTATTATTATTATTGTATTATTATATAAACACTAGAAATGTGTCATCATGCCACGGATGCCCCCGCATGCAGCCAAAATTTCAGATGTTATAATATTTAGTTCCAAATTTGTTTGCACAAATTATTTTTTTCATTTGCAGTTCAAAGCCCTTAAAACTTTTCAATGTTAACACAAACCATTTTCATACAATGTTCAAAGCACTGAAATTATTCAGTCTTAACCTTTTGAAAATAGCATATTTCCTATTTGTAGCAAAAATAATGGCTACATACATTTCCACAAAAGTATGAGTGCTGAAACTGAAAGTTCAAAATTTTTCCAACATTCAAGAAAGATAAGTTTGTCCAAAATCATTGAACCACGACTTAATTCAAACTTTAACTGCTTATTCCTAAGATGTATCTATATTATTTTCTAAGTGAAAGGGACATAACTCTGACAAAAAAATCATCGAACCATGACCAAATTCCAACTTGACCTGCCCATTCCTTTGACATATCCATATGTCAAATTTGAGTTGAATATGTAACACTGTTGGGTAGATAATGAACAGAAACTGTAAATTTCATATTATTTTCAAAGTAAAAGGGGCATTACTCTGCCAAAAATCATTGAACCATGACCAAATTCGAACTTGGCCTGGGCATTTCAAAAACATATCCATATGTCTAATTTGAGTTGAATATGTTGTACTGTTGGGGAGATAATAAACAGAAACTGAAAATTTCATATTATTTTCAAAGTGAAAGGGGCATAACTCTGCCAAAAATCATTGAACCACAACCAAATTTGAATTTGACCTGCGCATTCCTTTGATGTATACATATGTCAAGTTTGAGTTGAATGTGTTGTACCTTTGGGGAGATAATGAATCGAAACTGAAAATTTCATATTATTTTCAAAGTGAAAGGGGCATAACTCTGCCAAAAATCATCGAACCATGACCAAATTCAAACTTGACCTGTATTTTCTCAAGACATATCCATGTGTCAAATTTGAGTTGAATGTGTTCTACCTTTGGGGAGATAATGAACGGAAACTGAAAATTTCATATTATTTTCAAAGTAAAAGGGGCATTACTCTTGCAAAAATCATCGAACCATGACCAAATTTGAACTTGACCTGTATTTTCTCATGACATATCCATATGTCAAGTTTGAGTTGAATGTGTTGTACCGTTCGGGAGATAATGAACGGAAACTGAAAATTTCATATTATTTTCAAAGTAAAAGGGGCATAACTCTGCCAAAAATCATCGAACCATGACCAAATTGGAACTTGACCTGTATTTTCTCATGACATATCCATATGTCAAATATGAGTTGAATGTGTGCAACCGTTACTAAGATAATGAACGGAAACTGATGATGACGGAATGACAGAATGACGGAAGGACGGAATGACGGAAGGACGGAAGGACGGAACAGGGTAACACTATATGCCCCGGCCATTACATGGCGGGGGCAAAATAAGTAAAACCCATACATTTCAATTATATTTCATGTATTGTTTGCTATATACATAGGGCGTCCGTGGCCGAGTTGATAAGGTCGTTGATTTCAAACCACTTGCCTCACCGCTGTGGGTTCAAATTCCGACCGGGATTTTGGATTCTGTCATTTGAGGAAGCTATCCGCTAGCTTACGGAGCGTCGGTGGTTCTACTCAGGTGCCCGTTCGTGCCTGAAATAATGCACGGAAGGGCACCTGGGGTCTTTCTCCACCAGTTAAGCTGGAACGACGCGATATGACCTATACTGTGTCGATGTGACGTACAACCCAAAACAAACAAATGCTATAAACATGTTATATGTTTTATGCAAGAAATATATTGAATTAAACTTTATTATCAAAGACAATCAGTGGTATTATATATACCCATCGGCTAACATTATCGAAAGTCTTAAGTAACAAACACAATTATTTCAAGCGGAATGCGTCTTGCTTAATCTCTTAATCCTTCGCCAGCTACGTTTTCCTTGCTTTGAACTATATATACAGTCAAACGTGTATTAAGCGACCGGGCAAGGGAAACACCAAAAACGGTCGCTTAATGAAACGGTCTCTTAAGACAGTCAGCATGATATATAAGTCAAAATTTATAAATGACATCTTTTTTATTCGTTGGGATTGTTTTTCAACTTTATTTCTATATAAATGTTGAATAATAAGTACGCTCCGATAATCTAAACGGATGCAAATGTAAAAATAACGTTCTGATATTTATTGACAAAACAGTTTTGATCCATTACGTACATGTTTGATATTTTTTCCAGAATTTTTTAACTTCTCCTTTGTTTTTCCTTGTCTCCAACACGAAAACCCTATTAGTGAGGATGTTTTCGTTTGTGCATTTTTTCATTAGAAATAAACAAACTACATCTATTTGTTACGATTAATTTAATGGCTGATCAAGTTCAAGGTCAATTCAATCCAGTCTAAATGTCAACAAGCGAAGCGTATACACAATCTCAGTATGGGCGGAGCGTTGCATTGTTTATCCGATATTATTGGATAATACACGTCACGCGTATACTTAACTTCATTTGCATACGCTAAAACGGTATGGGAAATAGAGTTTTTCACACGTTTATTGTTGTGTTTTGATTGCTGACACTTGTGACATAACGAGGTGGCGTTCTCTAAAAACACAATTACTTGACAGATAAAAATGGTCGTTTAATGAAAAGATTAATGTCAATTAGGTGACTAATTAGCGGTCGCTGGTCGCGTTGAGCAAAAGTCGCTGAATACATTAAAGATATAGAGAGAAAATGATCGGGGGGAATTTAAAGTGGTCGTTTAAGACAAAAGTCGCTTAATACACGTGGTCGCATGGGCAAGTTAGACTGTATATAGTCTGTTCAAAATCAGAATACACTAAATTAGCGATAACATACAGCATGGTCTGTAAACAGATCCAAAATAAAAGGAGTGAATGGCTCATATGGCTGCTAATTTATTATACCATTACCCACATTTCCGGGAAGTGTTTACTATTTAGATCATTCGTCAGAGAGGAACTGGCTAAAATACCGAATGTACACATAATACTGAAAGTAGAGAACGGCTGTGATTTAGACACAATTATATTATTAGTCTCTGAGGGAACGCTGGTTACCACCTAAAAATTGTCTGATTAAATTTTGCTTTTACATTTTATCATTTAGTTAAGTAAAATATTAAAAAAATAGTTTGGCAAACGTCTAAAGTGTACCGAAAAGCAAGAATACCTCAGTATTACATGCGCGCACGACGAAGAATAAAAAAATCGCCGTCAATTTGTTTTCCAGGCCGCCTTTCTCACGAATGATCTTGATTTCCAAAGACATTCCCGTAAATGTGTGTAACGAGGGTAAAATTATCTTGTCTTGGCAGACGATGCAATAATTTGTTGCGTTCAATTTGATTTAAACAAGATATGTTTGTAAAACATGTATGCCCCCTATCGGCAGCCAATTAGTCATGTGATCAGGTTATTATGCATGACTTCTGACCCAGTAAACAAACAATTAATAAGGGTTATCAAATATCTACTGGTCATCACTAGTTACAAGGTAATAATTATTGTGACCCCATAGGTTGTGTGCAGCAATTTAAGTTATTACAAATCTTACCAAATAATATATGCATAAATTTTATGAATCATGTAGGCCTCATTAATGACAGCCAAGTTGTTATATTACATAAGACCTTCAAATGTGTATACCTAAAGCATTTAAAGTTTAATATAAAAATATCAGCCAAGGCAACTTGAGTTGTCGAGTGATTGATCAAAAACCGTCATAAAGTACAAGGTCAATATGACATTGACCCTTTGACCCCAAAATCAATAGGGGTCATCTACTGGTCATGACCAATCATCATACAAAGTTTGAAGTTCCTAGGCCTAAGTGTTCTTTAGTTATTGATCAGAAACTGTTTTTACTTACAAAGTCAATGTGACCTTGACCTTTGACCCCTTGATCCCAAAATCAATAGGGGTCATCTGCAGGTCATGACAAATCACCATACTAAGTTTGAAGTTCCTAGGCCTAAGCATTCTTTAGTTATTGATCGGAAACCGTTTTTGCTTACAAGGTCAATATGACCTTGACCTTTGATCCCTTGACCCCAAAATAAATAGGGGTCATCTGCTGGTCATGGCCAATCACCATACCAAGTTTGAAGTTTCTAGGCCTAAGGATTCTTTAGTTATCACTCGGAAACCATTTGGTCTACGGACCGACGGACGGGACGGACCGACAAGTGCAAAGCAATATACCCCCTCTTCTTCGAAGTGGGGGCATAATTAATATATATTGTTATTTTTTTACCGTGTTGTAGTTTTTATTAGTATACTCCATTTTGCATCGTTCTGCTTTACTTCTTTCACAATCCAGCGTTATTACAAGGAGTGCCCTTCAGAAATGAATCTTAAAGAACGTCACGTTTGCTCTTGCAAGTGTAAAGGAAATAATTAACAAAGAAATGTCATGAACTGATGTAACTGACTTTTCAAGGCTTGACCCTGTGGATGGACGTCTAACACATTATGGGCAACACTTATTTCCCATATGTTCAGGTAAGTTACTTTATCCAGAATGTCAGTAAATTCCTCAGTTAGAATCTTCTTATAAACAAGTGAAATGTATGGATCCCACCATTTTGAATCTGAAATACATGGAGATGGTCCCTTGAAAAATACTTTAGCTTCCGGTTTTGAATAGAAGAGGCGTTTTAACGAAGCGACTAAATATTTCAGACGTTCACGATATTTTTCGGGGGGATATGAAGTAAAATGGGCGTGGTAGTTTAACAGCACAACTAAAGAAATACCTGGTATATCACTATTAGTTAATGAGTCAAGTATTTGGGGAAAGGATTGAATATTATTTATAGGTATTTCACCACCTGCGAAATGCAAAGGCATAGCTTGTTTTCTATAAATAAGTGTTATTCCATGGTTTGTAAACGTGTGGTGACCATGGTAGGTTTGAAAGTTAGGTCCAAAAGTTAATCCTTTCTCTATTGTTTCATCTAATCCTAATATATCCTTAATAAAGAAGTTAATGTACTGCCTTACTGTTGAATCTCCAAGAAAAATCAACGTTCTGTTTTGAAGGCATGTTCTATAATTTGCAATAGTGTGTTTGAAATTGGTTTTGCAGTTCGTCGGAATCCAGAGACGTTTCAAAAAGAATCCAATCGGAGATTTCTCTGTCCAAGACTCTAATGGCGTTCTTTCATTACAAGTTACAGATGAGTTTGTATCTGACTTAAACGTTACGTCTACTGACATTGGTATCCTGAATATACCGTGTCCCGGAGATCGGATTTTATCTTCAACACTACGAGCACGCCTCTTAAATGAACCAAGTGAGAATGATTGAAGGTCTTTACACTGAAATTGACCTCCAGCAGGCAGTCCGCAATACCATGACATCCCTCCGTTCAAAGTCGTAAAATTACATACTCGAGAGCTTCCATATATGAAGCTGTTAGTATTACACGGCGCAAAAACTTTCGAATTGTTATACGAATAAACGGCCCTCAATCCATAGGGTTGTCTGAGAGTAAATACAATGTCACCGTACTTATACAGAGCTTTATAGCGAAGACACGTATTCTCAACCGCTGATACCAGCCTCAGATGAACATTAGTTCTTCCCGTCCAGAAAACTCGGATTAAACCCGTATACGAACCGTTCCGATGATCGATAACATTTCCCGGAACCATACCGTCACCATACATCTGTCTTGCCCACGCAAAAATAATATCTCCACCATTTAGTTTCGGGATGTTTCTCTTATTGTATGTTCTAAGACGAACCAGTATAACTCTGTCTTTTGGTAAGAATTTTGATCTTGCCCTCGTAAACTTTGTGCTTGTCATACTATATTTGTTAGCTGTTTCGACGCCATTACAAAAATCTGGGAGATTAGCAAATGGCGGGGGAGTATTATGTTTAACAAAATCGGTAGAATTACAGTCTTTTTCTGGAAGGGGATTTATGATATATGTAAAAATAAAACCCGCATTTAGAACAAATAAAAGTCCTAGAGTTGCCCTTTTACTCCGCACAGTTTTGAGTAAATTAGTTCTTGCAGAAGATATCTCAAGTTTCGAAATACCCATTGTTCATCGCATCAATAATGTTTCAGCAATCTGTAATGAAAGTAACAATCGTTAATTGCCATCGCTAAGCAATAGCGGGACATTTTACTATTGGGTATCGCACTGCCCAGTGTCTAGGCTAGGGGTGACTGGAATTAAACATAAGCTGATGACTATAAAAACAAGCAATTATCATAGTATTGCAAGCAATCCATAAGTCCCCTACCGGTTAGAACCGCATCAACATTCTGAAGGGCCATTGGCCATTCACTAATGTTTCAATTTTTCTCTATTTTAAGTAAATTTGTTGGAAAATTTCTTTAAAAGTGATCACAGGAAACAGTTTTTATGAACAGACAGACAGACGGACAAAGGACACTCTAAAGTTAATATTTGAAACATCCCTGTTACCAAAATATAACATTTTAAAAGCAAAATTCTTAAAGAGGAGATAACTCTTAAATTAAAGATGCAATTTCATAAAAATTTTCAGCTCTTTTTGACTAATCACAAATATTGTTATATTTGCCATGTTTTAAGCCTATTTTTGCCAAGGCAACTGATATTTTTTCAAAATAGGAAGAACAGATAAGACATGCATAATCTCAAGACTGCTACCTACCCATATGTCAAGTTTCATAAAAATATTTCCAGTACTTTTTGCGTATCACTGGATTCAGTTTATGTGTAAAATTTGCCATATTTTCAGTCTATTTGTTGCCATAGCAACCAGATTTTCAACATAGGAAGAAAAGAAAAAGACGTGCATAATAACCAGACTGCCATCTACCAATGTTTTAAGTTTCATAAAAATATTTGCAGTACTTTTTGCGTTATCACTGGATCCAGTTTATGTGTAAAATTTGCCATATTTTAAGCCTATTTGTTGCCATAGCAACCAGAATTTTCAACATAGGAAGAAAAGAAAAAGACGTGCATAATCTCCATACTGCCATCTATCCATATACCAAGTTTCATAAAAATATTTTCAGTACTTTTCAAGTTATCGCGGGGTCCAGTTTTGTGGATGGACGGACTGACTGACGGACAGACGGACAGACGGACGGAGGGTAAACCTAAAGTCCCCTCCGGTAAACCGGTAGGGGACTAATAACTATATAATACCATGGGTCGGACAAAATTAGTTTAAATATCTTATCTTCTTCAACGTTTTAATCTATTATTTCAAATGTGCACCCAGTCTACCTGAGCTGGGGTTAAGTATAAAAACACAACTTTACTGTCTTTGAAATTTACTGAAAATATCAATTATAATAATTAGTACAAAATAAATACTAATCTAGTTATATTTGAATTTTAAAAAATGTTTTTACGCTGGATTCTTTTTTGCTTCTATAGTTTTTGACTGTACCCTCAAATGTTATACATGTATTACCGTCTAAGATACGCCATTCTAGCACAGTTCCGTTTTATTCAAGATTCAAATTTCCAAAAACATTTTTTTCAAACAAAACCATGTTTCTTAATACACTATACAATTGATATGTACATAAGATACTTACCAATACGCCAAATAAAAACAAGGGACATAAATGTGACACTACTTTCATGATAAGTACAATTAACCTTTTGTTTCATTACTAGATTACTAGTAGTAGTGAACGTTAAAATTACATATATTAACGAACACAACAGTATTTGACAGCTGGTATTTATATTAAATTTCTTGTATAATTAAACATGCTTCTCGTTTAAATTAACATACTTTAGCACAGTAAGTATAGAGTAATTCTGAATAAAAAATTAAACTGAACCAATAAAAATGTGTATCTAATCACCAGCGATGACAAATGATTTCACCAGGCGGAACCATACTTTGTTGATTGAATAATATCACTATTTTGGTGTAGTCTAGAAAACCTTTGTATTCACAAAATATAGATTAAAAATGCAAGGTAAGTCATAAGACAAACGTTGTTTTACTTTAATTTTTATCAAAGTATTCACTATTTATAGCGCCAAAACATAATAATATAAACATTTCTATTTAAGCTTCTTGGAACTAAACAGTTATGGACGCTGGCAGCCTGGCACAGGTGGGACATGCAAAGCCTTTTTTTAGTTCACCTGACGACGTGCTCATAGTCCCCCTCCGTTTGCCGTGCGTTGTCGTGAGTCGTCTCTGAAACCAATGACTACACATTAATAAAACTTTACAGGAATGATCATTGGGTAGTTCCCTTTCAAAGTTGTTCAAATCGTTCCGGTCTGTTGCATAACTAGGTCACAGGGTCAGAAATGAAGTTTCAAGAATTTTTGTCTGAAAGTAAAAAGCCCAGATTATGGTATATCATATCATCTAGGTCCTCTACCAAAGATATTTAATATTTGCCTTTAGTGTCAAAATTGGCCGAGCCCCGGGGGTCATTGGTTTTCCTTATATATATAGATCTATAGTAAAAAAGTTAAATATATTCTCTGAAATGAAAAAACCCTAGAGGAAGATGATATGACGTGGACAATAAAAATAATTTTTATAGGAAATCCTCTGAAGCTTCAAAAGTCAGAGCTTACAATTTTGGCGTAAAAAATGTGGATCTATACAAATATTGTTAAATTTATGTCCCTAGGGACACAATTATCTCCGTTCCAGGGGTCACGAGTACTGTGTTTATACATACATAAACAAAAACTTTAAAAAATGTGTTTTTTTAAGGAGAAAGCTAGAGCTTAGTTAGTTTTTTATTGCATAAAACATTGACTGGTCTTTGAATTTAAGTATTGGGATCAAAATTTGCACAGCCCAAGGGAACACAGACACGTACATTTTTGCAATTTTTCAGGTTTGACTATGATTCTAGATTTTATTGTTGATTTTAGAAATCTGAACTGACAGTTCGTCATTGGAGCGAGCAACTACTACATTCCCAGTGAACAAAAAAGAGAAATTGATGTTTCAGAAAAACCCGTGTAACCCAGCTATATATTCTGTTTAAGCTTCAAATATAGTTATCTATATTATATAAATACATTATTGTCCATCAATTGCAATAGTATTAATTGTCTTAAAAACCACGTAAACCTAAAGTTTGAAATATAAGGCAAACAGGCCGAGTTCAATATTGACATAAATGATTAGCATTATAAGTTTTAAGTAGATGTTATCAACGAGCATTTGGTCTTAAAATTGATTGGCTATTTCACTCGTGGGAACGAAATAATTATGTCGTGGGACATATCACCAAAATCAAATGAAACACTGTTATAGAAAGCCCCTGACTACAAATCAGATTGCCGAGTGTTTTGTATTATACGCAAAATGAAATTACGTTCTCTGACGTCAAAATATTTTAAACCCCAGAAATAAGTAACCAATGTGCTAGCATCTCTCGACCGTTATCTCTTTCCCTGTCGTCAAATAAGTAAACCCCAGAAAAAATGAGCCAATCAACGAGCATGCTCTAGACAGACAGTGAGTGCGCCTCCAGTTAACGCACTGTGCATGTATTGGTATATGCTTTAACTCTAGTAAAGTCTCTAAATTATGATACAAGCGTTATTTGTTGTTGTTTTTTCTATTAACACCTTGCCTACTGGCGGTAACTTATTATGACCATGTGACAAGTACATACCAAATACAGCCAGCACATACTTGTCCACTGATCATGCTATGCGATCAGTACGGTTTGAAATTTTTCCTGAAACGATTAATGGATTTGTCTACTTTGAAAATCGGACATGTCTATTTACATCAATTTAGCGCGGTTAATGTTAAAACAATAAACTTCCTTAATTAGCGATATACACAAGATCAGTTCATATTGAACGTCTAGTAAGTATTTCTTAATTAGTTACATCCCAAATATTACAATTAAAAACGAAAATATCTAGTTACCGTTTGTATATCTTATCCATGCATTTAAAACCCGCACCGTTTTATTCACAGACATTAAAACATCAATATAATTACCCAACGAACATAACGATTAAAGGGTTAGCTATAACGACAGGCTTAATAACAGCTGTAGAATAATGTTTAGTCATTCCCATTAAACAATACTCATCAGCTTAGATTATGAAAGGCATTAAGTAACAAAAACAATTCTGTTATGCTTTATGGCTTAACCCTTCACCAGCTGCGTTTGTGCAACGACTTTGTATACCTTTCTTTGAACTTGGAACAAAATACAACAAATGAGGAAAGGAGACGAGTGAGGAAGTACAACACGGTCAGTAGACGAAACAAGTTAATAGCTCATACGGCTGCGAAGATATTATACTTTTACTCTCATTACAAATATTTGTGAGCGACGACCTGGCTATTGTGCCGAGTTCACATAACAACGACTGTAATTTGGGCACAATGCGTCTCTGAGGGAACGCTGGTTACCACATAAAAAGTACCTGAATCACATTTTACAATTAAATTTTGCAATCACATTTTATACTTCAGTTCAGTAAAATATTAAATTTATAGTTCAAATGTATATTTATATAAGGTATACCGAAAAGCAAAAATACTTAGTATTACATACGCGTACGTCGACAAATCTCAAGAATCGCCGTCCATATGGTTTCCAGGCCGTCTTAAATTTCGCTCGAGTGATCTTGCTTTTTAATGACTTCCTGAAAATGTGTGTATGTGTGCGCGCGTGTGTGTGTGTGTGCGCGTGTTCGGGTGTGTGTTTAATGACGTTAAAATTACATGTAATGAGGGTAAAACTATATTATCCTGGCAGTCGTATGCACCAATTTGTTTTTTTTTCATCTTGAATTACAATAAAGTATACATGTATTGTTCTATTTATAAGTTTCCTCCATATATTCGCGGTCCGTTGCTATAAAAAATCTGCGTTGGTCAAAATATCATAGCCATATACAGAAGTATAGTAGAACGAATGTTGAGTTAGTTGACGGTAAAATTTTGAACTATATGACGGTTACATGTAAACAATTATATAAAATAGCTTTCAACAAAAATGCAAAAGATGCATGTATTTGACACCACGACACTTATTAAAGATATGATGTACAATTTTCAAAGCAATATCACACCTGCATTTATAATGCATGAAACATCAGATTTCCCTCCAAAACAATTCCATCCGAATGGATCCCTTGCAATATTTACACACTGTTTTCACTGGAATATGTGTAAATGTTATAACTGTTGGTATTGACCAATTAAGAAGATTGATTAAGAGGTAAACCAAAAAGATACGGATGGGGATAGCATGGAGAGAGCATTTACACGGGGGTGGAACCCCATATTTATCTCAAAAATGAGCATCGGTAAAAATTATATGAGAATTTCCGCTGCACCAGATGTGAAGCATAACACCAGATGTGACTGTAAAAATAGGTCAATCGCAGGGTAAGTTTTCATTTTTTTAAACATTTATTTAAAATTCAATCCTTTTTTTAAGAAAATCGAAATGTGATTCTACCCTCCTGACTCTCCTCTATATTATTTATTTTGTTTTGGATTTCTATGCAGTCTTCATTTAGATATTCTTTCCGTCGTGGGTTCTGGTGTGTCCAAAACATCACCCCCGTGATTTGGGAAATTACCACATCTTGGAATGAATTGTATACTTAAGGACAATGAAAACGCACGCCCGCACTATATGCATTTTATTACATGAAAACAAAACACTAACGACTCAATTAGATATATATCATAACTTCAATACAAAAAGCAAACTTAACAACTGAAAATAATTCAAAATGTTTAAAATCAAATGTACACCAGTAAATCGAAGAACCTTAGGTGAAAATCCCAAAATCACACTTTTTCATCACAGTAATGCAAACTTAACAAAGGCAAAAACCGAAATGAAAATCCAAAACAAAGTCACTCATAAATGTCTATTCGTAATGTCACCGTCGGGATCTTTATAAACGACAATGTCCTCCATCAGCGTCTCTTACAGATGTACATCGTCGCCTCATAGACCTTACGGTGCGGATAGTCGCCTGTGGAATCTGACGCCATTCGGCCTGTAGTTTAGTGCGAAAACGCTGGTGAAGCCGAGATATTGTAGAGCGATGGACACCAAAATGGTTGGCGCTTTGATAATACAAAATTTGATTGAAAGATAGACCAGACTGAATCCGTCCTAAATCTACCCAGCGGTTAATTCTTTGTATAACCATTGCATACAATTTGCTAGCAAATCTTCAGTATTGTTTGAAATTAAGCACCTTTAATAGAGGAAAAGTGTTTATGCAATTTCAATGTGAGCTTTTACGATTTCTGAAACTGAACATTGGCAAAGTTTAATATTCATTTTCATAAAAAAAAAAAAAATTATTTGCTCATTTGTGTCTAACATTTCTAGAAAGGTGTGAAAAACAAGTTAATAATTATCAGTTTAAAAAAATAAATGATTTCATTTCATAAAGTAACCATGAATTGATTAAATCTGTTTTTTGTTGTGATCTTATCACAATTAGCCCAAAGTGTTACTTTTGATTTTTCGGGTACTGTCTTTATCATGCAATAACTTCATTAAAATGCAATCATTTTTCATAACTTTGGTATCTAAATGACCGAAATGCATTCGGTTTTATGAAACTGTGAAAAAATATTTAAAAGAAATATATTTTCCTTGTTAAAATGCAATTATCCCGACCGTGCGTTTTCATTGTCCTTAAGTATATTACCGAGCACCCTTAAGCCTGATCTATATTTTGTGCTTACGGTGATAAAAGATATTTTTTCTTCACGAGTAATGATAGAAACTCCGTTTTTATGAAGTTTTAAGTCTATTATCATTTTCTGAGTAATTTGGGATTCGAACATGCTACAACTAAGGGGCTGTTTTTCAACATCCTTTTTATCCTATCTTACTAAATGTTAACATTTTGCCCTAATTTCACAGAATAATGCAGCTGAAGTAAAGCCTACATATTTACATGTTTGTAACCAAAAATCATCAAGATCTGAGATGTTGTCAAATTTCAGTAGGAAAGTAACGAGCTATCTTAAATACTTCATTTTAATAACTCGTGTTTTAAATTTGACATTATTCTTCATTCTTTGTTCAAGAATGACTATTCTAATTGTGAAAAGCGACACAAACTTGCAAAGCTTCTTCACGTAAATAGGGCTAGGAATATTACAACAACTCGATTTTTAATTTAATTCTGAGTATATTTTTTACTTATCAGTCGTATTTGTTTTGCAAACCCCAGTGTCGAGTCGCAACACTAGGGCAAAACTAACACCGGGAACGTAACTCTCGCGTGTCAAGAACCTACTCTCCATTTGTCGAGGAGTGAGCAAGAACGTGACGTCAGAAAATGGCGGAAATCAATGTGAAAGACTTTTGATATGTTATACAATATAGGTCTGGGGTTTCAAAACACTCAGAAAATTTTCTGTTGCAATTTGTTTGAGGTTTGGCTGTATTTTGAGCTAGAATGACTGGACTATCAGATGATTCTTCAAAATACTGCAAAAAAGAAGTGCGGCGTCCATTTTGTGGAACGCTGAAACAAGAACGCTGTTCATGCTGATAGTTTTGAACAGCTAGTGCGACAATACTACGCATGCTCAGGATGCCTAAACTCTACACTCGGGTTTGCAAAACAAATACGACCGATCTATTGCATATATGTCTGTTCTAAGTGTTCCAGTTCATCTATATGAAAGAAATTCAAATTTAATTTTTTAGGCTTTTGGACCTCAGTGAATTTCTTTAAGACATACTATTTTAAACTTCTGTATGGTTCTCAAGGAACATTTTTGATGGTAAAATTATTTAAATCAATTTCTGTTCAACATTTTTGTTTGTATATGCAATTTAACAATTTTTTTTTACCAAGTTATGATGCTTTTTAAACGAGATATTTGTCGGCAGCATATAATCAGATAATTTTGAGTCTTCCGCTTTTTTTCAAGTTGATGAGAAAAAAGTATTTTAGGGCAAACATGTATAAACGCCTGAATTAAATAGCAAATATATCGCTCTTTCAATTATTATGTTTATTTAAAAAAAAATTAATTGCTATCAATAATTGTTGTGGAAAAATAGATATGTATACTCTGGGGACATAATTTGACTTGGTAATACGAAAAAGTCCAAAGGTTCGACTTACCCTGAACCACGTGCCTATGCTAATAAAACCAATACTGTGTTAGTAATTCCGTAATAAAACATAAAAATAAAAATAATAAATACTTACTTAGCATCTAAAACTTGTATCCATAAGACAGGCACGCACATGCATTTATAAAGTAGTATTATAAGTTACCGTTACACTCTTGACTTTGCTTTGCACGCTTTATGACAATTGCACGGACGCAAAGCAGAAAATGTGTTTTTTTATTTCATATACGAAAGATTTACGACAGCCGTGTACGTGTATTATATGTTAGTATTAAACCTGATGCGTTTTACCTTTATAATTTCTATTTTTAGGTTGTCAATCCAATGGTTGTCAGTTGTCAAGGAAGATGTGTTAGTGGGTTGACAAATTGTGAATTAAAAAAAACTATAGCCTTGTAATAAAATATTCTATTGTTCCAGTCAGAAGAAAAATATATTTAAAAAGGACAATGAATCTGAGATGTAAATTTTGACAATGTACATGAAAACGCTTATATAAATACTATGTACATGCATTTTTATAGAACGAGAATTTACTATAAATCATTGAATTTTATAAATTATTCAAAGCGTTATACTGAGAAAAAAGAAGCCACTTCAAATTTTCTGAATTTTAGTTGAAGGGTTGTTTTTATTGGTATAAGATTAAATAAAAGTTCACTTTTTTTAAAGAGTGACACGAATGAAGCATCATTCATTTCAGGGCGTGCTTTCAGCCACCCTTTGGTAGCAGTTATTGGAAACAATATGTTGATCGGAAGCAGTAAAGCAATTGAAACACGTATACAAGAGAGAACTTAAACAGTTAACTGACACATGAAAAACACGTGACATGTAACATGTAATCAAAAGTGAGCTAAAATATGTAAAAAAAAAATAGTGAACTGAAACATGCAAACAATAATTAACTGAAAACATGTAAACAATAGTGACCTTAAGCATAAACAAAAGTGAATTGAAACATGTAAACAATAGTGAACTAATACATGTAAACAATAGTGAGCTTGATTATGTAAATAATAGAAACTGGAACATGTAAACAGTAGTGAACTTAAGTTTATGTTAAATAATTATTTATCTTATTTATATTGTTCATCAATTATGTGTTTATTCAATATTTGTTACATTAATATAATTATACATGTATTCATATGTTTGTCAGCCATACATTGATGTACATGTAATGATTTCTGTACTTTTTGTAAGAACTGTATTGTATATGTAACTCTATAAAGTAAAAATTTGTTTTTCCTTTAGTACTGAAGAGAAAGAACATCAAAAAATTTAGAAATCTGATTTATAGCCGCGTGTGTCGATGCTGTCTCATAACGCATTTACTTCCATGTGAATTAAACATGTTAAAAGAGTGGTATATGTTATAAATTTAAACTTGAAAATACTATTCTTAATGTTCAATTTTAGTTTTATAAACATTGTAGCTATCCTGTATAATATTTTTCTTTATTTTTATCTAAAAGGGGAAATAAGTATTAACTACTTTACACATTAACAAACACTGCATTTACCTCCGTTTGATTGTAAACATACTCACTCTTGTGTCTTTGAATGCACAATTGTCCGAACCAATACATCAGACCATAAATTGTCGTCAACTTATTGCACTAACTGATCCGCGACGAAAGAGACCAAGGAAAGGTAACGCTTGAAAAGGCTGTTTTACAGGAATAACAATATCGCCCTAACAGCTAACATACATGCCATATATACAAGGGGGTCATACCATGCGCGCGCATCCTCAAAATTCTGATACCGCGAAAACTTTTTCAACCGGTATTTTGAACAAAACGAGTCATGTAAAGCAATCAGAAAAGATTTGAATTTAATTTTTTGAGTACACCAATAAAAATAGAAATATGTCGATGCGTATGCTTTCTTCTTTGATTTTGATGATTGATTTGTGCAATTTTCAAGCAGATTTATAAAAGAAATAATCGTTCTAGTTTTCTGACCAAACATAATGTTATTATATATAAATACTAATTCTGCTGTTCCTTATTTAGATTTGGAATCATGTCCATATTGTAGATAAATCAATGTTTATGTAGAGGATTTACCAATATTCAATTAGGCGATTGATCAATGTTCATGTTAGAGATAAATCAGTATTTATATAGGAGACTTATCAATGTTTATGTAGAAGGTTGACCAATAGTTATGTAGAATTAACCAATGTCCATGTAGAAGATTAATCAAAGTTGATAAATCAATATTTATGTAGAATACTGACCAATGTTTATATAGGAGATAAATGTAAAAGATTGACCAATATTGATGTATTCGATTGAAAAATGTCCATTCGGAAGATTAATTAATGCTCACGTTGGAGATAAATCAACATTTGTGTAGAAGATTGACCAATGTTTATGTAGGAGATTGATCAATATTTATGTTTAAGTTGGACACATGTTCATGCTGAAGATTAATCAATGTTCATGAAGGATTTTAATCAATATTTGTGTAGTAGATTGATCAATGTTTATGTAGAAGTTGGACAATGTTCATGTAGAAGATTGATCAATGTATTTGTAAGAGATTGATCAGTCTTCATGTTGGAGATTGATCAATGTTTATGTAGAAGATTTAACCATATTTACTAAGGAGATTTGTCGAAAAGAAAAAGAAAACATCAATAATAATAATAATAATAATAATAATAATAATAATAATAATAATAATAATAACAATAATAATAATGATGATAATAATAATAATAATAATAATAATAATAATAATAATAATAATAATAATAATAATAATAATAATAATAGTGATAATAATATCATGTGCCTCATTACCAAAGAAATTCTCAAAGTCTGTGTTGCTTTTGCTTGTGATGGTGCTGAAAGCTACTTCTACCCAATCATATCAACTGCTACACAATTGACAATATCATACAAAGCGTTTCATTAACTATTCACTTGTTTATACGTATACGATTGACGATGTCTGAACACAAAGTCAGTTACAAATATTTTCTAAGATTGACATCAGAGTTCCGACATCAAAGTATTTCTGGAACGATCGTATTACACGTGGGTTTGTAAGTAAATCTCTAACTCGATTTAAAGAACTAAAGCTATCTTTTTAAAAGCACACATTATGTTGACATACATGAAGCTTTGTCCCTCTGAATCTTCATACATAATTTGAATACTTTGTCACTATCTAGGGAAAATCAGCAAATCTCAAAGGGGTTCAAGAATTCTTCTAAATACTTCTAAAGGAGATATCAGGAGATATTTCTATTTTAAACGTATGGATAGGATCTGTAAAACAAACTAGCATAATCTATGGTCAAAATTGTCGAGACATATTTCATGTGATACCTCTTAATATTAATATCAACCGTGAAGGGCGACTTTTGATATAAAAAGATTTGTTTATTTCTTTGGTTTTATGTTGCACTACCAGCATTTAGGTCAAAAGGAGCAGAGACGGTAAACATGATTCTGTCTAACCTGGAGTGTTGCGATCTTCAAAGCAACACCAGGTATCTTGTTTACTGTCAAAAATAATCAGGATCAAATAAATAATCCAGATATTAATTCCAATGTCCTATAAAACTAAAACTGACCGTTATTTACCAGAATGAAATGGCACATATACAAAATGTAAAAACGTCTTGTCTTAGACGTCTTGTAACCACGCAAGGAAAAACGGTGGCTGCATTTTTTATGACCCAACCCTTAAAGGCAACTCCTTAACCGGAAGGGGTGGTAAATCCGCACAGCCTCATCAGCAAATACAAATGTCAAGATATATATGTAACAATAAGGAAAATAAAAAAATCACGCCTGTACATTTTGTATTATTTTATTATACCTTCATATTTACAATTATCATAATTAAGCATAGTTTCAGTAATTTGGCAGAGACAATTTTAATAACATTTTGTCTTATTTGTTTATCTTAAAACTTACTGGATCTTATTTAATATACATAATTCATTTTTTCAAACAATTTATTTAGTTATCATTTAAATCATTCAAATCACAGAACTCAATTGCAATTTGAATGTCCACCCAAAGATCATAAAAAGATTTAAATGTATATATCAGGTTTTTATTTGTCTTTGATTTTTGTCGTGCACGATGTACATTACACAAACAAGTCTCTTTCAATGTCATAGTCGATTAATTCAGTCATTTTCAGCCTCTTTCACAATTTAACGCTCACTCAGACATTCTTTTTGTTCAATATATTTTCAAGTTTGTTCAACGCTCAAAAGTTAGTTTGTTTCATTCTACCACAGCATGTCACTTTCCTCTAGATCTGTACAGTTCCCTTTATGAACTACTGCTACTGGGTTAAAGTCACCAAGTCTGAAACAAAACATGAAGGAGATATAGCTTTATTTCAGATTTAAGCATGTATACACATGCATATGTTTAAAAAATTATAAAACATAATGCGTTCAATCTGTGAAATTTATCAATATTACGATTCATGCGAAGCTTGCAATGAGTTTAGATGCTATAAATTTTTCTTTAAACAAAAAAAATTCTGTTTGATTTCATTAAAAAGTAACACTATTTGTTGCAATTTAGGAATAACAACAAACAAAAATAATCTTGATTTAGAGATATGTAATATTACTCAATACTTCAATCATAAAGAGAAAGGAAAAAACCAGAGGTAAAAAAATCAACTTACATACAGTATCGATGCTGGTTTTCTTGATCAAGATGACATTTACTATCGTATGTGTGTCCGTCTGTTGCACAAATAAGTTTATCAGCTGAGTCCGTCTCGTTGTTCTTAGAGTCACAATCAAATACTTTATCACAGTTTACATCAAGAAACATTCTCTTGCTCGGTAGACAAAAACATCCTGAAAAATACAATAGACCAACATTGTAGATAAGAAAAATATGAGTTGAACTGTAAGAATTTATCACAGTCAGCATCGGTAGAATTGATTGACATTAAAAAAGATTGAGCATTTCTAAATTTGCAGCGTGATTTGCATGATTTTAGAATTGAGAATAAAGATATATTTAATGCATGATAACATAAAAACTCTTGTCAAATATGGTTTTATCATAATGGTCCATCTATATTAAAGGAAAGAAATTTACCTGCGATAAAAATAAGCACGACTCCATAATGAATCATTGTTTTTTCCATTTTTATATATCTCTTTTATACAAACTGATGCGAAACTTAATTGACTTGGTTCTTTATAGGAATGTGTCTAAATAATTATATTAGATATGATAGTAGTTGAGAACACTTCAGTTACAGTTTTAGATATGTCTTCAATTTAAATTGACAGCGCTTTTTATCTACAAGACAGAGTCCAAAAAGATCCACGGCGTTATCCCATTGACGTCACGATGACGTCAATGCCAGTGTATAACCGTCAATGACCCCAAAGGTTACCTTACTATGACGATCATAACCTACTTATATGTTGGAAGCCTGAGACCCTTTGAAAATTGGTCACCTTTTTAAGTTTATTTTCATATATAGAAAAGGCCATTTGTAAAATTGCAAACAGCCGAGCCACTGTAGATAAATAAGACCAACAAGATGAAAATAGCTTGTAGGCCTTTTTAAAGGAACTCTGTACTGAAACGATGTTTTTATTTCCAAAGCAGATTGTCTTTCATTCTTAGGTACAGTTATATTCCTTGATTTGATAACATTTAATTCTGTATGACCACGTAACACAAGAGATAAATGCATATGTTATTGGAAAATATTGGGACTCACCTGAATAATCCGATGTCTCCTTTAATTCTAGTCAAAATAAGAAAGCATGATTAATCAATTTTACATGCTTCATCCCATTGGAAGTAAATTATACTAAACTGGAACAAGCATTATACAATTAGACAAAAGAACAAATAAACCCCGTTTGGTATATTTTCATTGTTAATACAACAGTCAAATATTATTTATTATTTTGATTCAGAAGTGTCTCTAATTTGTCTAAAATAAGAGATTGAAATTGGACATCTATTGATACATATTGTTAGATTATATGGTGTTGTTATTTATGGATACTGAAAATTACAGCCTTGCACCATGCATTGTCAATTTATATCGTGTTGAATATTGATAGTTACAGTTGACTCAACGATGTGTGCAGCCTTGTATGTGGGAACCTGTTAAAGTGGCGACTAGTTGATATCGCAAGGTTCAAGCTGTTGACCTGAATGACGTCAATGCAAGGCCAGTGCATTTATAACTGTTCTTATCTTGTTGAAACTAGATCTTCTAAAAGACTGTATAATTATATTATCTATTTCATTATATACATTTATGGTTAATGAAATAATATATTACGACATCACTTACCGTCGCAAGAGCACAAATTTTATCTGTGACCAATTAAATTTGTTTGTACGCATTTAGCTGTAGAATGTAAATTAAGTTAGTAACTTTAAGCAGCCTTCTCAATGTTTTGATTAAATGCTTTATTTGAATTTTAATGGAACATTAATAAAAAGAAATAAATTTTTAAGGTTTTTTTCTCCTCCTAAAAACGTTTTTGCAACACTATTCCAAGCCAGTTTTACAGCTTAACTTGTCACGTGCGATCTTTAAATCTTACATTTTCTGAAATTTACATTAGACCTGGACCTTAACATATGAGTATCGTTACCATTTACAACATTTGATAATTAATATCATGTACAACATAGAATTCACTTATAACTTATTACCTATATCCACAAGTTCAACGAACAGCAGTAATTGCCCGTGAAGTTTAGCGCACCTCAGGTGATATTTATATAAAATATCTGAAAAAAGTACTTCTTCCTCAGAGTAACACTTTTTGGCAGACACAGATCTTGGTTGTTGAATATGTTACTCTAGACGCTAGTGAAATTAAACCTATTGTGAAGTTTTACTTTAGTTAATCAAATCGGTTGTTTGAAAAAGATTATTTCCCTCTAATGCTCTGAAGAGATTGTGCTGTGCATTTTATATGCAAATTATATACACCAAGTTGATAATAATACTCTTGTTCATAACAGCTCAAACCTGGAAACTTTTGCTTATAATATCAAACATGCCTGATTAACATAAAATTATCATATATTTCTGCTATAATTTCAAACAGACAAATACTCGTTAAAATCTTTCAAAATCGATCAGTTTACTTTAATGTTTATAAGTGATATCGTTTTACTAAAGATAAAAGACTTCTACGCGAAATAATTGATAACCATGTCCGGTATATGAAATAACATTCACTTCTCTGGAAAGCTTGACGCAGGAAAAAAAGGAGGTGACTATCTAAGCAAATAAAACTGGAATAAAAATGAAACTGACGGCTCGGGAAGGATATATCGTAAAATTGCATCTTTTTTTGTTAGGTAAATATTATTTCTAAATTGTTTCTCAAGTAGATGAACTATTTCCATAAAGTTTTGAAATTTTTTAAGAAGACCTCAGAATTCAGCAGATACAATATTTAAGTCAATGACTGTTCTGTTTTTATGAAATAACAAATCAGAATATATGAATTATGAACATTAATTCTATCTTTAGAACAATCTGATACTGTTAACCACTATATGTATTTTATTCACTGAATTATCCTTAACTTTTATTTATTTTACAGTGGTGCACGTTAACGTGTTAGGCGCTTCAAACATAAGTAAGTCTTGTTAAACATTTTTTTTTTGCATTTAAGTTAAAACAATCCATTACAAATGATATTTTATTATCAACTCATCATTGTTGAGAAAAGCATTTAAGATTGGGCTCAACAAATAATATTTTATTATCTACTCAGAAACTTTATACATATATAATGTATACATTTGTATAATAGTATCAGTCCCAAGTTATTTTACTATAAAAATGGAATGCACTTCAACAGGGAAGATACTTTATAATAATCTATTTTTGTTTCAGTTATACTTTTTTTTACAACTTTTCTTTCTTACTTTTTTATTGTGCATTTTCCAAAAACATTAAATGATATTCAATTTATACTTAAACCTTTCGAATGTTTTGTTCACTATCAGCTTTGAAATATGCATTTCAAAAGGACATATAACCTTTGAATTTTTACTCCTTTTCTCTTGATCAGTACCATTTTTTGACATAAAGCTTTTGTTTTTTCTTTATTGAAAAAAGTCAAAGACTTTCATTAAAAACAAAACTTGTTAACTATCAAGGGGAGGTAAATCTGCCTTTTGCATAAGTTTAGCAATCTGACCCACGTTGCATTATTTATAATATCGCACAGAGAATAGTGGAGGAACAGGCTGTCCGCGGACTGTTGATGACTACCAGTCACATGTAACACCCTGTTACAACATCAAAAACTAAGTTTTTTATAGTACAATTATCATTGTATAACGTTAACTCGTCATCAATCATTACTTTTTCCATTAACACAAAAATTGTTTCAATTTAAGACAACTCAGTTATGGATAACATTCAAAAATTCTGA